GAGTGGTGCGATCTTGTCGCCCCATCTGACCTCCCCCCTCCTCTCCCTCAGGGGCTGCGAGGACGTGGTGGCGCCGCACGGGATCCCGCTGGACCTGCTGGACCGGCTGCTGATCGTGCGCACGCTGCCCTACTCGCAGGAGGAGATGGTGAAGATCATCCAGATCCGCGCGCAGGCCGAGGGCCTCACGGTGGAGCCGGCTGCGCTGCAGGCGTTCGGCCAGGTGGGCGCCGACACCACGCTCAGGTACGCCGTCCAGCTGCTCACGCCCGCCAACCTCACCGCCAAGGTGAACGGCAGGTCCACCATCACGGCTGACGATCTCAAGGAGGTGTCCGAGCTCTTCCACGACGCCAAGGCGTCGGCCAAGGTGCTGGCGGCCAACAGTGACAAGTTTATGAAGTGATTAGGGAGGTAGGACGGGTCATTCAGGGCCCTCGGGCCACATTGGTGCATCTCAAGTCATCGTTCAATTATGCTTGCTTTGTCGCTCATTCCATGCTGTTCCAAGACAATATATTGGAAATTGATCTGGCTCTGTGCTAAGGGTACCCGACAAACCTATCGATAAGTTTTATTTTCTTCCCAGTCTCCCAATGCTGCAAATGAATATCCTCAATGCGCTGGTGCGCCCCGCCACACCAAGCCATTAGCATCATTATCATCGTGAATGGGTAGAGGTGGTGTTGTGGTGTGTCAGTGTTGGTGGGTGATTGGATTGCCTGATAGTCTTCTTCGCTATGACCCAGTGTAAAACGACGATAAAGATTTGGCAGCGGTGGGATTCGAACCCACGCCTCCGAAGAGACTGGTGCCTTAAACCAGCGCCTTAGACCGCTCGGCCACGCTACCAGATGGTCGTGAGTGATTCAATAGCGGTTCTGTATAGTGGACGTTACTGCTGGTTGTACATAGAGCTGCTGGTTTTTAGTGCCGAGCGGGCACATTTATTCACCACTGAAGCTGCGCCACTGCATAGGGGCGAAAATTGAATCGCACGTGCCACGTGCCACGAGGTTTTAAGCGAGTAGCGACCGATGCCATCAGGTAGATCGCTTGCGGGAGCCTATACCCTGAACTTACGGAAATTGAGCGATTCGTCTAAGCCCCTGTCAAGTTGTACTGATTCGCTGCCAGCCATGCAAAACATAGCCCGGAGAAGGACCGCTCCGGTTGTTTTTCAATAGAAAAACACAATTCTAACGAATAGTGTTTGTCTTTTCAAACAACCTGCGGTTATGCCCAGCAGGGGCGGATCCAAGGGGGGGGGGGTCACATGGGTTATGCCCCCCCCCTTGAGGCCCGGGGGCCCAAAGACCTGCCAGGGGCACCACCGGCCTATCAGGGGTATCACAGTCCTGACAGGGGCACCACAGGACCGCCAGGGGCACCACAGGCCTAGCAGGGACACCACGGGCCTGGTGCCCGTGGGCCCTGACAGGACTGTAACGCCCCTGACAAGCCTGAAGTGTCCCCGGCAGGCACGTGGTGCCCCTGACAGGCTTGTAATGCCCCTGGAAGGACTGTGGTGCCCCTGGGCCCTGACAAGCTTGAGGTGCCCCTGACAGGCCAGTGGTGCCCTTGCTAGGCCTGTGGTGCCCTTGCTAGGCCTCTGGTGCCCCTGACAGGCTTGTAATGCCCCTGGAAGGACTGTGGTGCCCCTGGGCCCTGACAAGCTTGAGGTGCCCCTGACAGGCCAGTGGTGCCCTTGCTAGGCCTGTAGTGCCCCTGGCAGGCCTCTGGTGCCCCTGCTACCCCTGCGCCCGGAGGGGACTATGGTGTCCCTGAAAAGCCTGAAGTGCCCCTCTCGACAGGCCCGTGGTGCCCCTGGGCTCTGACAGGCCCAAGTTACCCCTGCGAGGTCGGTGGTGCTCCTGGCAGGCCTCTGGTGCCCCTGGCAGGTCTGAGGTGCCCCTGGCAGGCCTGTGGTGCCCCTGGCAGGCCTGTGTTGACTGGTGCCCCTGCTAGGCCGCTGGTGCCCCTCACAGGCCTGCGGTGCCCCTGGAAGGACTGTGGTGCCCCTGCCCCTAGGGGTGCTCATGGGCCCAACAGGCCCGTTGTGCCCCTTCCTGTCGTGTATACTTGCTAGACCTGTGGTGCCCCTGCTTCCTGGCGGGCCTGTGGCGCCCCTACAAGGCCGTCCCAGTAAACATGCCGACGTCGGCCCGACGTCGGCCGACGTCGGGGTGACGTCGGCAACTCGGCATCAGCATGCCGACGTCGGCCCGACGTCGGTCCAACCTCGGCACGACGTCGGCTGGATGTCGTATATGCCCGCATGTTCCGACGTCCAGCCGAGGTCCAGCCGACGTCGGGCCGACGTCGGACCGAGATCAATTGCTGAGGTCCAGCCGACGTCGGGCCGACGTCGGGGCGACGTCGGACCGACATCGGCCGCTGTTTTGACCGTTAAAATAATATAAAATACATGTTTCATGTTTCATAAAGAGCTTCTGTATTCAAAATATCCTCAGGAAACTCAAATCTTCCTCCACGCCGCAACCCCGTGATCCGGACTGGACGGGAAACTTTATCCCATTTGGGATGGCCCGTAAGCCGAGCTCGCCCGTAGCCGGGTGGGGTGAGTGCTTGGGGGCTGCTCGGCCTATCCTTTGGTCAGGCTCAGCCCCGGCAACTCACCAGGGCCGGGCCCAGTTCATATAGAAAGGCCAGTCGGCAAGTGTCACTTTGCCAAAGTGCCACTTATCAAAGGGACACTTTGGGAAACGTTGGTGCAGGTGTGTAAGAGTGGCTATATGAACCCATTGTGGGGTCGCCCTTTCCAATAAGTGGCACGTAACAGCAATGGGACCAGGGACTCTATATGAACTGGACCCAGGGTGCTCGCCAAGAAGACCAATGTCTCCATCCTATGATCTTTCCGGCTTTGAAATGGTCTTGTCAGACCGAAAGGGCATAACCCAACAAAACAAACCTGATTCGTTAGCTGGCTGCGTGGTGTAGTGGTTAGCGCACTGACCTCGCGTTCGAAAGACACGGGGTTCGAATCCCATCGCCGGCTGATGGTTTTGGCGTGTTGTCCCAGTAAACATGCCGACGTCGGCGACTGGGGGGCTCGAATCCCGCCGCCGGTTGATATTTTTGGCGCGTTGTCCCAATAAACATGCCGACGTCGGCCCCGTCGGTCCAACGACAAAGGATCTCGTCAACCTCGGCAAACGATCTCGGCCCGACGTCGGCTCGACGTCGGCTGGACTTCGGCTGGACGTCGGAACATGCGGGCATATCCGACGTCCAGCCGATGTCGGGACGAGGTTGAACCGACGTTGGGCCGACGTCGGGCCGAGCCTCGGCCCGACGTCGGGCCGACGTCGTCATGTTTACTGGGGTAGGTGCCCCTGACAGGTTTGTGGTGTCCCTGGAAGGACTTTGGTGCCCCTGACAAGCCTGAAGTGTCAAGGACAGACCCTTTAGACGCCAGGGTCAAGTTCGTCGGACTGACAACGATTTGCTTACCTGATAACGTTCCTGGTAAGTACTCACTACTCAGCGTCCACAACATATATACCCGTAACATATACACATAGCACATTCATATACTTGCTTACAATTGGTTTAATGTGGTTGTGGCTAAGAGTTAAGATACTGACTAAAAATAAAAAATAAAAATAAAAAACTGAAAATGGGGGCACCACCAAAATGAAGTGGACGAAATCCGTTGAGTTTTTAATTTTGGGTATAGGTAGGGGCACCACTTCGATTCATGACCCTCCCTTGGAGTTTTCCTGGATCCGCCCCTGATGCCCAGTGAGTCAGTGGCCTCTCTGACTGCTGACAGGCAGGTCCCAACCCACAGTCTGCCAGTCGATCCTCCCCCGGTGACCGTTTGAGGGACCGGATGGCCTGTCTCACCGGCCGCCGTTCTGATGCAAGCATGCCCCGCAGGTGGCCAGACGTGGTCATTGGTCAACCGCTTTGCCGTGCAAAGGCAAAAACTGCTATGTTGGGTCAGGGGCTGGGTGACCCAACACAGTAGTTTTAGCCCCTGCACGGCAGCGTTGCTAAGCTGACGTAGGGAAACAAATTAAGCATATAAATCATATAATATCGGCATATTAGGTGTCATGCTCTCTTTCGAAATTCGACAGGCCTGTCTTGGTTGTTTGTTTTGTCAGGGTTAGGCTCCTTCAGTCTGACGAGATCATTTCAAGGCCGGAAGGATGAAAGGAATTGAGGGGAGACATTGGTCTGAGCGAGCACCCTGGTGAGTCCCCGGGGCTGAGCCCGTCCAGAGAGGACAGGCGGACCAGCCCCCTGACACTCACTACACCCGGCTACGAGCGTGCTCTTACGGACATTCCCACATGGGATAAAGTTGCCCATCTAGCCCGGCACGGGAGGCTGAGGTATGTAGGAGATATACCCTGTGTAGGAGAACGATTCGAAGGTCCTGGGGATGGAAACGACACGGAACGGTGTTCATCAAGTCTCTTCTGTCGGAAGGTTCTATCGAGACGGTCACTTCATGTGTAGGTAGAAGGGAGGTCTCACCACAAGATGCTGCTTATTGGATAAGCAGATCTTTCAGTGTCCGACATCTATTCGGTCTTGGCCTAGATCCTCGTTTAGCTATTCTTTTTCTATGCCCATTCCCTACCGCTATTGTTTCTTTTCCAGTTGAGGCGCCCTTTTATTTTATTTCCATCATCATGTCAGCCTCTGTTGTTGGCTATATAGATGGCAATGACCGATATGCAGCGGTCTCCGTACCGTATCTACCTAACAGTTGCCATAATCATAACAGTTGCCTCGGTGGGTGACGCACCCTCTTTAAGAGCCCGGACTGGTGTATGCTCCTGGCATCAGTCGTGTGCTTCTAGTATATGGCACGATATCAGCTAGTGGATCTGCTTCGAAATCAGGTATCTGCTGTCACACGTGGTCATTGGTCAGTGCCCAAGGCCATAGAGTGGGTGGTTACCTTAGCTCACGCCTCACTGGTCGTGATACAGTGAATAGTAACCTGAAACTGAAACGAGTCAGCTTTTATCAACTGTATGTCATCATATGAACGGTTTCACAATTGTATTGAACAGAACAAGACAGAGGGCAGCGGCTCTGGTGATAGCCAATGACACCTCCGACCGACAGCGGCACCTTCGTCCAAACGCGGACAACTCTGAGATGAGATGAAGGAACAACGGACTGCCGACTACGACCCACGCGATCGGAACTGAGCGGACAAAAGCAGCGTGGCGCTATGACAGTGATGGCTTGTGACAATGGCTACACTAACACAGGAATCTCCCCGCAAGGATTTCACTGCAGCTGAACATGCGCCACGGAGCAGGGCGCCCGGCCGCTGAAGAACAGCTTGGTCAGCATCCAGTCCTCGACGGCCTGCGGCGAGAGGGCCAGCTGACCGGCGGGGGACACCTGGTGCCAGCAGGGGCAGCCGGCCGGCTCGGCGGCCGCCCACTCCAGCAGACCGCCGCCGCCGCCGGGGGGAGCAGGGGGACAGGCGGCGCCGGGCAGCGTCCACCGACTGGCCGCTGAGCCCTGACACGTCACCTGCCGCAGAACAGAGCGCTGGTGTCAGCTGAGGCGAACCAGAATGGAAATACACAGAAAATGAGGCGTATTTACTACAGGGAAAAGGTAGCGTATAAGACGAAGATGTCTGCTGCATACATTTTAGACGGTGCTCCGACTACGATCTAAATGTCGTCTTTAGCTTATACGGGTGATTCCCGGGTCTGACTGATTCGCGACCCATGACCTTTGCCACTGACTGGCCCATGACCTGTGACCTTTACCCACTAACTGAACCGTGACCCGTGACCTTTGTCTCCTGACTGACCTGTGACGCCGTGCCGTGTGGCTGACAGCCCGCCGGTTCCGAGCACGTCTGTCCCGGCTGCGGTCGGGCCGCCGTCACGGCTCCGTCAGCTGCCGGCGGTGGCTGGACCGTGTCGACCGACTGGCTCACTGGTCCTGTGGACACCTCCGACACCTGTCTGGTGGCCGGCGGCTGCGACAGAGGCCCCGAGGAGGTCAGTGGACACGGCCGGACCGCGTTACTGTAGCTCGGAGGCGCCCCGCAGCAGCGGCAGGCCGTCCCCGTCCCGACCGGGGCCGGCTCGGTCTGCACAGAACCCTCGGCCGTGCGCGCAGGGAAGGTGCGCGCGTTACGGGCGTTGTCCAGGTGGTAGCGTAGCTTTCGGATGGACTTCTTGCTGTTCTCGAGCTTTAGTTCGAGACATTTCATGGCAGACACCATGGTTTGGTAGCGACTGTCCATTTCTTCCGCCTTGGTGTGTTGTTTGGCAAGTCGGTGTTTTTGCTCAGTGCATATTTCAGATAGCTGTTTGTTTGCGAGGCAGATCTTTTTCATTTTGTCCCTCAATTCAGAAACATGTTCGTTTTGCGATTCTTCCACTTCTCTGAGCTTCTGTCGGAGATTTTCCACCTCTTTGGCCAGTCGCGTGTTTTCCTGTGTGAAGAGCCACCTCTCTCGGATCAGGTGGTGCACCTGGCTCTCCTGCTCCTTCACCACGTCCGCGAGCTCGTCTCGGTGGCGGCACGCCTCGCTGAACTGTTTGACGATCAGTGCAATCTTCTCCTTGTCGTCCTCGGCGAGGTCGGCCAGTCGCGGCGTGCCCCGTACCGGGGACCATTTTCCGGGGGAGCGGCGCGGCGCTGACACTGTTCGCTGTGATCGAGGCGATAATGCCATGGCTTTAGTGGGTTGCTAAGCTTGAGCATTCGTTCCCGGAATTTCAATGAAAGGGTATGGAGACTTTCGCTCTGTTAGCATCACGAATTATATTGGTTGCTTCGCCGTCCCTTACTGAATGCGAATGAGCTATCAAAGTTTCATGTGGAATGCTTTGCCGAGTTATGTCTGTCATTCCACGTGTCATGTGAAAGAAAAGTACTTAGGTAGAAACATTTCGAAGATAATTAATGAATGGACGCGCAAACATTGTGCATAACTGTCCCAAAAATGAAAAATATCGAGCACAACACTGGTATCTGTATTTTTCCAAAAACAAAATAAAAAACAGGGCATCACAAACGGCAATGAAACATGACGAAACTTTGAGCACTCTCGTGACTACGTGGCCCTGGGTCATCTACTTTATTGTATTTTATCGCTTCAATTGGCATTGGAGATCAGAAAAGTTCCATACTGGGGTCGATATAGTTATGTTTTAGGACCTTGGATATAGTAGCCCTCGCATTGCTATCAAGCGATAAGCGATACAAGCATATGTGGACGATTTCATTTATCCCTCATCTAAAGCTTCTACCTCACCATCATAGTCGCGCTCATGTCCGAACATAGGTACTGCATTTCGAAAATACGGCATAATACATGACTTATGACTCATGACACAATACACCGGCCAACATGATGACAATCGACATAAAAATCTTACAGGACGGAATAAGTGACATCACCTTGGTGTCATCCATGATAACCGGATATCGTTCAGGCCGTAAGCAGTCTGACACATTGCACAAAGATTAGACTGCAATAAGGATTGCTACAATGGTGAAATCGTTGTAACGCGGTAATAGCAATTGATTGTGACAAAACATCCAACAAGTACGGCACGCAACATTCCGAAGATAGTCATTGAACAAAACGTCTCTGGTGGTGAGTACATCACAGCGAATTAGATATGTTTGAGGGCCTACATGATAACATTTACCCTTTAAACCTCAAGTGTGCATCATGCACAACATTTGTTGTGTAATGCGTAGGTATGTACATTCTTCAAGGCCGCCTACCGATTGTCCTCAAATCAAGTTGATTGCCTGCGAGATCGCTGGTATGCGAGATATAAAACGGAGACGTTTAGAATGCAACAACCTATATAGTTTGCAACTTTACAGTCCAGCTACAGCTCAACACGGCAATTGCCACCTCAGTTCGGTATAAAATGTTGCATCGAATTTCACACCTTGATCTCTACCCTCTTGCCGTGGCTTACGGTACAATTAGCCCCGGATTACCTTGGTCCGCTCCGCGACTAGCAAGTGCCACCTTCAACACACTTTCCTCACTTGACTGCTAACTAATACTGTCCTCGGACGCACACCTAATGTTTAATTGGACCGAATGCCTATGGTTTGATTCATTAATCGTTGGTCAATGCCGTGGCTGATCGGCATACCTGCCTCAGATCTGCTCTTTCTTACCCGATGCGAAGGTCAGATACCACAAAATCTTTCCAAAACTACAAAGTTTCATGGTCGATACAATCCACAATGTCTATCTCAAAGGTCACCGAAGGGTTGTGTTTGATTTACACACTTCCTCGGCAACCCATGCTTTACCAGCTGGTAGCACCGCCGGTTCTTTACACAGGTCGCACTACAAAGTCCTCCAGTCACATATAAAGCACACAATCACCGATTGTCTCAGCTCATACAGCTATCGCTGTCAATCGGCACCCTGGTCCTTTAACCCGCGCCCTGGTGGGGTCTGTTTATAACGCGACCTGGTGGGGGGGGGCTATTTTTTGCCCCCCCTCGTATCTCCGAAACTACTGGACGGATCCGAAAAATTCAAACGGCGTTCGAAAGGCCTGTCAAATTTGTTGAGGGAAACCAAATTTTATTGACCTCGGGGTCACCGATGACGTCACAGGTCAGGTCAAAGATGAAATGTTTCACCGTTCACGGGTCTTCTAGGGAATGCGCTATAACACCGAGAAAAACGCATTTTGTCGGGAATCAGCGATAGGGCGTCAGTTGCCTAGTAGATATGTTGCTGTTAGAGGTCACTGGTCATACCAGGTCAGGTCACAGGTCAGGTCACCAAAGGTCACCAAGGGTCACCACATGAACCCAACTTTACTAAGGTTATGCGATGCATGTTTTATGGCCAGTTTTTCATTTCCAACTCAATGGTGTTGGTTATAAGACCATCAGGTACGGTTTAGGTCACTTTCTGGTGGAGGTCAGGTCAAGGTCAGGTCAAAAAAGGTCAAATTTCAAAGTTAATATTTTTGCATAAAATGGGTATTGATTCGATGCAGCTCGTCACGGGGAGTCTAATGGTGGTCTTTGTTTTGCGCTACGAGGTCTAGAATTGCTGAAAATTGAGTTTGAAAATTTGACGTCATCAATTTTGAACAGTTTTTTCGCTATAACTTGGCCAAAAAAAGAGGTATCGATCTCAAATTTGGTATGTAGATAGAAGGCGGTAAGGACTATCACATATATTCCGGTTTTTTCGAAATTCAAAAAACTTTTTGGATTTTTCGGCTATTATATTCAAAAAATCTATTTTTTGATTTTTGGGGGTCAAAATCCAAAAATTTCAAAAATCCGAGATAGCAGTTTTGTAGCCCTGTTCATTCTACAGCTTTTATGTCTATATCATTTTTCTGTATTTGCAAAGCTATAGGCCTGACAGCTCTTCCCGCGAAACCCTTTTTTGGGTCGAAAACGGCAGAACATGACGTCACTCTGACGTCATTTCCGGCCAACCTATCATAGCCTTTGGAAAAATTTTTGGTCACAATGTGTAAAATTGATGTCCGGGAGGGTACTGAAAGTTTGGTGACGATCGGCGCAGTGGTTCTGGAGATATATCGAAAAGTCTGGAGGGGGGGGGCAAAAAATAGCCCCCCCCCCCCACCAGGTCGCGGGTTAATAATAGTCTATTCAGGACTCGTCCGGTGACTAGCTTGAGCCGATGAGGGCCTTCATTTCGCCTTTTCTTAGCCTCTGCTTGTAGTTCCTCCGTAGCCGCACACTTTGAAACGCACGAAGTCTGTGCAGCTCTTTGCCCATTAGCAGCTCACAAAGATGCGATGGCCCAGTGTACTCCAAGAGGCTAGGTTCAAAGCACCATTTCGAACGATTTCATATTCAGACCGTTCGTTTCGCGATTCAGATCACGGGTATTCGGCAGGTGAGGCAGCCGACGGCGGCCATCTTTAGTCTCTGACTGAGTGAGGGCGGCGAGGGCGGCTCGGCGGCCGGCGGCGGCTGCCAGGGCGGCGGCGAGACGGGCGGCTCGGGCGGCGGCGGCGACTCGGCCGGCGCGTCAGAGTCGGAGCCGCCCGTGCCGGCGTCGGTCACCTGCTGCAGACGGGGGACCCAGGTCAGGGTCAGGCTACATCGCTGTCTCACACCCAATCTCGTTTCTGAATCGTAAACCAATAGGGAACTCTTCTACAAAATGGATCTATTGACAAAACGACTCCATTTTGCACTTCTATAACTGGTCACCTCAGCGATGCCCTTATCTCAGGTGACCGACTTCTTGCTGGGACAGAAATTTATCGACCCATGCCCCCGACCTCTCCCGGTTTTTCGACTCACCTCGAGCTGCATCTGCTCCTGCACAACCCCGGTGTCGGTTCGCTCGTCCACCGGCAGCAGCTGGCTGACCTGTCGGACTAGCTCATCGGCCCGGCGCGCCCAGTCGACACTCCTGCCGCGGCCGCCGTGGCAGCCCACACCTACAGAGGGGTCACTCAGTCACAGACGGTCACACAGGCGGACAGCCACCATGCCCGGCGTCACCAATTCACAATATCCATGTCTAACTCACGGGCATTCCCCTCACCGAAAGCTCGGTCTCAATAGCCGGCGAAGAATCCCAGGCCTCTCTAGCCTCGCCCAAACGCTGATCTCCCTAGCCTGTATTTAACCCCCGCCTCCGGTCTCACTAACCTGCGAAGTCCACATAGACGAGTTGTGAGAAGACTAGCGCCAGCGATCCGGCAGGAGGCCACGGCATCTTTTCCAGCAGGACGGGCACCAGTTTGAGCTGCAGGAGGTCGGCCAGGTGCGCCTCGCGCAGACACAGCTGTGACTGCAGGTACTGCTGGCTCAGACAGGCCACAAACACCTGCGAGAACACCAGCCAGCCGGTCAGCTGCGGGAGTTTCTGCCTTCGGGGGCAAGTGAATGCGTCGTTCGCAATTTATTTGTACACAGCGTCGCAAATTCTTCATTTTATGACGTATCGTCTTCTACATATAAAATCTTATCATTATCACCCTGGCTCGCACGGGATTGCTCCAATGCCCATCGGGATTCGTCGCATTCGGTAAGTGCCGTGAGGTCGCGGCTAGTCGACCTAACACAGTCACAGTCCACTGGTCACAGTCGCAGTCTCAGTCATCCTGCTCACCTTGGCGCCGCTGATACCCTGGTAGATTTTCTCGTAGAGCAGGTCGCCCCCGCCCATCTGTCCGACATCCATCCAGCAGCGGAGGCCGGTGCTCTCGAGCCGTCCGCGCAGCCGCACCGCCTCCTCCTGGTGGTCCCACTGGTAGCTGATAAACACTGGCGCTGGGCTCTCCGGCTCTGCGGCGCGGGCAGTGGGCCGGTCAGTGGGTAGCTGGGAAGACGGAATGCATGGAGTTGGATGCACATCCAAAAGGGATAGTCAAAGTATGGTGGAATGTGTATGGTAAGACAGCCATTTCACATTAACGGGCTTTGATCGAAGTCTCCCTCCTCATGGTGAATAAAATGTTTCAATGAGTGTCAGATGGAGTGCTTACTCCAGAAAGGAACTGGCACTCACTGCTCTTTTAGCGGCTAGAAGCCAACCGTATCTACTCACTGGAGACGTTCCTCAGCACGGCGCAGATGTCGTCTCTGGCCAGACTATCCAGCACAGCACAGAGCATGTCCAAGCTGAAGCCGTTGTTGCCCGAGATCTGCATCCAGTCGGTGATGAGCGCTAGGCCCGGGTCCAGACAGTCGTCAAACTCGGATATCTTGTGCTCACGGTATCCTGCCGGTGGAATGCCCTTAAGACAAATTTGAGTGCCGGTAATGGGTACCGGGCTGAAGGAAACGAAGCCTCGACTTTCCGCCGCTAGAAATCGCACCATTTTACAAGGAATTTGCAAGACGAATACGTTGAAACAATACGTTTTAGCGTGTTTTCTCCCATGCAATACATAGTGACCTTAACATACTGATCTTCTCAGCTCCCTGTATTGGACATCCAACAGAATATGTACGATTCCAGCATCCCTGCTAGTGTTCCTCCCAACCCGTCCGCCTCAGAACCCAGCTGACCGATTTTCTTGGCGACTGCCATCCAGTCTGATCCGGGTCCTCCGGCGTTGAGCAGTTTGGCGGCCTGTTTGACCCACTGAGGCGCAGAGGCCGAGCTGAGACTCTCGTGGCGACTTAGGTAGCGGGCGGGAAGCACAGGTGCCAGGCTGACTTCTGAGGGAACATCAGGGCGGGGATCAGCTGGGACTGATTCAGATTCAGATTTAGATTTTATTGGACCCCATTGGGGTGACAGTCTAAAGGTGTGATGAGTATGGGACATGGTTCGGACAACCTGACATGGCCATTTGCGTCACTTGAAGCAAGCAATGCCACGAGTAGCTACTGCCTCATGTAGTTCGTAACGTATTTCACGTTGAACCTTTTGCCACTTCATCAAGAAAGAATGGATATGGCGGTTCTCAATCTGCCACTTTCCTCATCTGCCCCGTCCACTGACCGGTCGTCCGGTCGGGCTGGCGGCGCTCGAAGCAGCGCTTCACGTGCTCCACGGACACCCGTCGGAAGTCGCAGTAGACGGTGTCTCCGGAGAGGCACTGGTTCAGCGGCAGCGTGTGCAGACACTCGGGGGCCGGGCAGTCGGCGCGCCGGTGGACGGTGCACGGACGGCCGCACGGACACTCGACGGTAAACTGCCACTGCAGACGGCGGCACAGTGCCGCGCGCACCTCGGCTAATGTGGAGTCCAGTCGGCGATGTATCTGGAACGGGACAATGGTGAATGCTACAGATATCGTGTCGACGAAAGTCGGTATATATGCTAAAACTGTCTACATGGTATTGCTATTTTGTATTAGCAAGAAACCATGGCGTTCCACGTTATCATTTCAAGCAAAGCCGACCTCCGTGATTCTGTCAAGTGACTGGCCTTCTTGACCAAATTCTATGACTGATATTTGCGACTGCCTTCCGTTAATTAGAGACCACGTCTCGTGACTGACCTGCAGACAGACGTCGGGGCTGGGTCCCCACGTGGGGCCGAGTCCCCGGTGGGTTCGTACTGACCTGGAGACAGGCGTCGGGGCTGGGTCCCCCGGTGGGTCCGCAGTCCGGCAGGGTGGGGTACGACTCCAGTCCGTCCTCCATCAGCACAGATATCCGCGCCACCGTCACCTGCAGGACAACATACGTGTTTTATACGATCAGCCGCCAGCTGACAGCTGACTTTACCAGCGATAGCCGGTTTCATTGAAACTTCCAGCTGCCGCATACACAATGCACGCCAACAGCTCCTCCTAAAGACACTGCTAACCTATCCTAAATCTTCACTGAACTCCATACTGAAATCTTTGGGTACCTACTCGAATATCGGTACGAACGAATTACGATGTTGTCGCTATTCGGACCAAGGACGGGACTGCTGGATCCAATGGTGGGTTTGGTCTCCTCTCACGTGTATTCTGGCCTGGTGCAGCTGTGCCACGGTCAGCAGCAACTATGAACCCTTCACGAAGAGTGGACGGTCGCTCGTTGATGGAGGGTGGATGGCTGCTTAGTGGACGAAGAGAGAACGGTTGTTCAGTGGACAAAGAGCGGACGGTTTCTCGGTGAACGGAGAGAGGACGGTTCCTCAGTGGGCGAAGATAGGACGGTTTCTCAGTTTCCAAAGAGCGGATGGCTGCTCACCTGTATTCTGGCCAGGTGGAGCGGCGCCGCGGTCAGCAGCAGCTCGTGCGAGCCGTCCACGAAGAGCCGCGCCCGGCCGTAGGACACGTGTGGCGCCCGGTGGGAGCTCTCCTGGGTCCAGACGGCCAGCCGTACCACCAGCTGACTCACCAGACTCGCTAGACAGTAGAGGGTGAAGTTAGCATAGTTTGGTACGGCTCATTGTGGTTCGGCCATGCCTCATCGATGAATGATTCTTGAATTCAGTTGATGACGGGAAACTATTCAGTCATAATCGTTTGATGAGGTCATCGATGCAAATTATCGATTAATATAGGACAATCGTGGTGGAGGTCTGCGCTCAGCACTAGAGGTCACATCTCAATTTAAGGTCATTTCTCACCGGTGAGGAAGCCGCAGAAGTCGATGAAGAGGGTCAGCGAGTCAGAGGGTGACCGAGGGGTCTCCTCTGAGCTCCTCGCCTGAGGGGAGATGAGGCTGGGCAGCAGCAGCAGCTCGGGAAGAGGCACGCTCTCCGCCAGGTCTGGGAACAGAGGTCAGAGGTCAGGTGGTAAGTCAGAGTCAGGTCATATCTCGAAGTGATGTGAATATCGGATATTATCCGATGGAAGATAAATTTGCAAAATGGACGTATCAGCTCACAACCGGCCACGTCGGTATCCCACTTCCCAGTGACTAACCGTAGAGTGGCGGCGGCGGCGCCAGCGGGCAGACCAGCCCCAGTCGGCGCAGGACGCCCAATGTGATGGCACTGTTGGTCAACTGGTCCCAGTGTCGACTCAGCAAGGCCGCTTCCACCACCCCCTCGGACTCCAGACGCCGCCAGCCGCTGGGCGCCGACTGTCAGTAACAATGAGTCGGTAAGATCACACCGGATTGTAACAGTGTCGTTCGACTTGATGGTGATGTTAGGGGTCAGGCTGGTCTAGTGGTGGCAACAGTGGGTTAGACGAGGGCTGTCTGCGATGGTTCTTTGGGATGGCTTCCATAAGTCCAGGCTCTTTTGACTAGCTTTTTCCATCTATGAGCCCAGTAGTGACAGGAAATATGCAACAGACGCAACTGATGCAAGATAGTTATATGGGTAATGAGTGGCTCCGACTACATAGTAGCTCCAATTATATATGTTGAACTCATTTACGAATGCTAGTAGTGAAGCGTGCTCACCTGGTAGTATTTCCGTTTGGCGTTGATGACGTCAGCGAAGAGCTGAACGAGCCACTGGGGCGAGAGGAGCACCAGCCGGTGCGGGCCGTCTCCGTGCAGCAGCAGACTGCCCTGGTCGTGGTGGAAGCGCAGGAAGGTCGTCAGCTCCTCACCGGCCACGTCGTGCTCCGCCGCCATCGTCTCCATCTGGGGGAAGGGGCGTGGGGCAGTGAGAGGTATGTCCCGCGCCCCGCTGGGGGGGGGGCAGAATCTGCCCCCTCCCGTTTTTCGCCAATAAATTCTAAACGCGTTACGCCAGTGACGTCAAACTTTCGATACCTTATCATACATCAATTTGACACGTTCCCTGAAAATTTGAGCGAAATCCGTCGGAAAATTTTTGAGAAATTGACGTTTTAGTGACGTCATGTTCGCCATTTTCGCCTCAAAAACGGCAAAATTTCAAACGCCGCTAACATCTTCATTTTGAAAGGAATCAAGACGTAACAAAAAAGGTTATACGTGATTCTACTTTGTCTATCAAATGGCTATCTCGGTTTTTTGAAAATTTTGGATTTTGGCCCAATTTTTTTTTCTCAAAAAATTGACTTTTTTGGGAAAATAATTATAAAATCCAAAATTTTGAGTGCATCGAAAAAACCGGAATATATGTCAGAAAGTGGTCTATGTGCACCAACATACCAATTTTTAGAAGAATCGGTTCAAAAATGTTGGAGTTATTCAAAATTGTATGACGTCACGACACACAAAAATTTTGAAAAATGATTTTTTGGAAGTTCTAGACCTCGTACAGAAACAAAAATAGCACCATTCGATTCGCCGTGAAAAACTGCATCAGATAGACACCTTTTTAGGCCTTAACAACCAACTTCAAAATTTGACCTCACTTGACCTGACCTTGACCTGACCTCGACCTGAGATTCATCCAGAGGTGGTCCATATCACTTATTGAGTGTGCCGATTGATTCTATGAGTAAAATGACCCATAAAACATGTGTCGCACATGCCCTTTTCTATATTTTGTTTTTGGTGACCTGACCTGACCTTGACCTTGACCTTTGAATGACATTGTATGCAACGAATATTGTCTTGGTAGTCTAAGAACACGTTTTGGGCAATCAGTCTCAGTCCATTCTTCGGCAACTACGGTGCAAGGCCGATACTGTAGAAACTTGCATTTTGTACCCTTGACCTGACCTTGACCTGACCTCTGACTTACTTAAGCAAAAAAAAATTGGGCTCTTAAGATCCGCCTTGTTGAGAGCTTTCGATTGCCGTTTTCGCCGTCTTTCTACGACTCTCTCTCTCTCTCTCTCTCTCTCTCTCTCTCTCTCTCTCTCTCTCTCTCTCTCTCTCTCTCTCTCTCTCTCTCTCTCTCTCTCTCTCTCTCTCTCTCTCTCTCTCTCTCTCTCTCTCTCTCTTTCACTCTCTCTCTCCCTCTCTCCTTCTCTCCCTCTCCACCCTCTCACCTCTGGCCATGTAGCCACCACCAGCCCGGATCGCACCCTCCTGGCCACCTCCTCTTCGAGCCGCAGCCACCGTACGGGCACCTTCTCACCCATATACGCCTGGCTCAGAGTCAGCTGCCCGAGACAGCCTCTGAGGGCGTTCAGGGCCGCCGCGTCCCCCGATATTGGCACGGTTAACACCTGGCTGTGAACGTGCCGGCCGCTGAGCCGGCCCTCCAGGGCCTGACGGATGAGCTGACGGCTCTGCTGCAGCTGCGGGGAGATGGGAGGAGTTGGCGTCACGGGGAGTGGCAGGCTCTCATAGTGCAAACTGTAATGCGTTCATATCGAAAATTATCATATGAACGCATTACAGTTTGCACTATGAGATGTGGAGGAGAGTGTTGCAACCATGAAATCGTTTATTTGCCCTTCTCCCATACTGCCTAGTTTCACTAAACCGATAAGCCAAGACCCTAAGCAACCTCATTCTCCGTGCAGCAAACGACCAACAACGGATGTTTTGTGTAATTCTCCGTTGCGCCTCCCGTACCCACCTCCGTCTCTGTGGGCGGCGGCCGGTCGTCCTGTGTGCTCCACACACCCACCAGTAGCACGGGCGGCGCCAGGGTGCCCGTGCCGAGCCCCTCGCCAGCTGAGCCCGGTGTGGCAGCTGTGTGCACCAGTTGCAGCCAGTCGAGCAGCTGGTCCAGACGAGTGCGGCCCTCCACCGGAGTCTCGCTAGCCTGTGCAGTGCGCGAACGGCAGTCAGGGGAGGTCAGGTCAGGGTTCGGTGACATTTGTTAACCCTCGCCCGCACAATGGGGGGGGGGGGTGGTTGCCACCCCCCCAGGCAGTCTTTCTGCTCTGCACTCAACATTTTTAGAGCTAGAAGGCTGATTTTTTGTATAGCTGCTCGACTATCCTTTCTTGACGTTCACTGAAAATTTCAAGTTTCTGTGATTTTTGGTTTCGGAGATATGACCTTGTTTTTCAGGTCATGTCATGACCCAAATGGCCAATTCTCAACATCTTGCGTTTGCCATGGGCCTTGTGAGCTTTTGACACCCTGATTTCGGCCTTTTTTGCCAGTCTTACCTCCCACCTATCATGGAACATGTTGTTCGACGATGTACAGGGGTCAAGGTCAGGGTCAAGGTCAACCTAGGTCATCTAAGATAATTGCGTTTTAGGCAAGCTGAATTTACTTTTTGTGAAGTTTTTTGACTGCATTTTTGGTAAAAGCTTCTCAGATCATGATTTTATGTGATATGGACCCAAAAACAATCGGTGCACACATCAGTATACACACAGACACACACAGACATACAAACACATATTTGTTTATTTATTGGCATAGCGTCCACAGGCAAAGCCCCACTTACGGATGCAGTCGCACACTGACAATAACAACCACTCACACACACTGGATGGAAATAAATATGAATGATAACACTGATCAAAATCCAAATAAATTAACAAGATGGCAAGAGCCTAAAAGTAAACCGACAGGCAACAGCCTAAGAATATAGAAGACATGAGCAAAAGCCTAAGAGAATATACAAGTATAGGCACCTGGCTAATGAGCGAGGCTAAAAGTATACTGACATGAGAAATCCCCTAAAAGTAAACAGCACAGGCAATAGCCTGAAATCCTAAAAGAGTGTAGGTATAAGCAAGAATGACAGTGGATGAAATAAAAAGACAAAAAAGACGAAAAATGAGCGTAGACAATGACAATGAGAATAAAACCGGTAACGGCTAGTTGCTACATGAGGAGCTACATCAGTGACCTTAGGCTAAGTATGTTCCCTGGTCGTCAGCAAATTTGGCTATCTCCGACCTTAGCCTGCAGCTAGGCATAAAGAAATCGGCGTCGGGGCTGCTGTGGACAAGCGAGTTCACGTGCTGGGGAAGACGAATCAGAAATCCTCGCTTCACAGTGTCCACTCTTCCGCGCGGCACATGAAAGAGCTCGGGACGGCGCGTGCGACGGCCGGGTGCCGATAGAGAAAACATGGCCAAGATGTCGGGACAGTCCAAGCGACCACTGAACACGGAGCGCATGTAGTTGATGTCACACTGTGTGAATCGTGACCTCACTGATTCGCAGCCGAACAGTTTAAGCAGCGATGCATAGTCGAGTGAAGGGCACCTCGCCTGTGTCCGGGCGCCCAGCCACATGAGAAAACGGTGCTGTAGTCGCTCTAATCGGCGCAGGTGGGTGACAGCGGCACCCGACCAGATAACACAGCCGTATTCCATTACGGAACGCACGTGAGCCTTGTAGGCGGTGAGGGCTGCGACACAGTCGAACTGCGCTCGATGCACCCGTGTCGAGACCTGCATGCTCCTCATCAGCAAGCCCAGCATGCGGTTCGACTTCGAGACTATAGCATCAACATGGTCTGCGAAGTTAAGCTTGCTATCTAAGATGATGCCAAGGTCACGCACGTTAACACACCTCTCGAGCTGGTGACCGTCGAGCGCGTATGAAGCGACATGAGGTGATGAGCGCATAGTGAAGGTGATGGTCTTGCACTTGGCCGGGTTGAGCTTCAGGTGCCAGGTCCTTGACCACCGGCTGAGACGGTCCAAGTCAGCCTGAAGGGCGTGGGCATCCTCAGGAGAGGATACACGGTGAAAAAATTTGACGTCGTCAGCGTATGACAAGCAAGATGACCCGATGTGTTTAGGGAGGTCAGCGACAAAGCAGGTGAAGAGCAGGGGGCCCAAGATGCTGCCCTCCGGCACTCCGGAGATGACCGGAGTCCAGTCAGAGTGTTTTCCATCCAGCACTACACGCTGGGACCGCTGGCTAAGGTAAGACTCAACCCAGCCAAGTGCAAGACCCGATATGTTAAAAGAGTGCTCCAGCTTGTGTAAAAGCAGCTTGTGGCTTACACTGGTAAAAGCTGACGAGTAATCTGTGTAGATAGCGTCCGTTTGCGATCCCTTTGTCAGTGAGGTCCAGCAGTGTTCCAAGAAACAGGTAAGGTTGCTCATGCAAGAGCGTTTTGGAAGAAATCCGTGCTGGGAAGGAGGCAGTGCAGGAAGACATGCACGGAGCAGGTCCTCGCACACTACCTTCTCCAGAATTTTTGAGCAGAGTGATAATAAAGATACCGGTCTGTAGTTAGATGGAAGCTTTTTAGAGCCCTTTTTGAAGACGGGAATGATGTTGGCCCGCTTCCATGACGATGGGAACACTCCGGACCGCACCGACAATCGACATATGATGTCGAGAGGGATCGCAATCTCCTCAGCACACTCGTGAATAATTCGTGCACTGAGGCCGTCAGCGCCGCAGGCCTTGTGAGGGCTGAGCTCACGCAGGAGCTGTGCCACTCGACCACAGGGTACGGTGAACGTGGACAGGCCTGGGGCGTCGAGAACAGGGGCGGCTGGTAAGTCGCCGACGTAGGGCGCGCTGAACTTCTCTGAGAAGCACTGGTTGAAACAGTTAGCTCTAGCAGACGCCTCTGTCACCAGCCTACCAGCATACTCTAAGACAGGAGATACGTGGTTATTTGACTTCAGGGACTTGATAAAAGTCCAATATCGCTTGGGATTATCCTTAAAATCACGGACGAGGCCCAACAAATACGCTCTATATCCGGCATCAGCCTGACGTTTAAACTCAGCTTTGGCTCTAGCATGCTGCTCTACATTCGCAGCGCAGGGGTCCGCCTTCTTACGCCTGTGGGCCCGTTCCTTCTCCCGTAGGAGATCCCTGATAGTGCGATCGAACCATGGTGGGTATTTCTGGCGCAGCTCTATGATAGGCACATAGTCACTAACAGCGGCGAATACGGCATCATAGAAAAACTCTACTGCACCGTTGACGTCCATAGCCTCGAGCACAGTCCAGGGCACCGCGCGCAAGGCGTGACGCAGGCCGGCGAAGTCAGCGCGCTTATAGTTGTAGACCCTGGTTCTGGATGCTCGGGGCGTGGGGCCGGTGTCGATTCTGAGACGCGTCTCGACCACACGATGATCGGAGGCGAACAGCTGGTCCCGCACCTCCGACGTCACAGTGCCTCCTGATGACACCGCCAGGTCGAGGACGTTGACGCCTCTCGTTGCCGCCGTCACCGACTGAACCGCGCCACACTCCGCGAGGGCGTCGATGAAGGTGGTGGCTCGTGCAGTGCGTCTCCTCAGTTCGGCCTCTCTGTCGCCCGACCACTGGATCTCTGGCAGGTTAAAGTCTCCCACCAGGAGGAACGGGCGGCCGGTCCTGTGGAGCCCGCGCAGGAGGTCCGCCACAGCCTCCATCTCTCGGTCAGCGTCTGGAGCGCGGTAACAGGTGGCCAGAAATGCAGAGCGCGTCGTACCCAGCTGCACCACCAGCGCCTCGCAGTCATATATTATACATATAATTGACCTTGACCTAACTTGACCTGAAATGACCTCAGCAGCAAAATTCTGGTCGGGTAGTGTGACTAAGAGGTTCTAGCTGGCTTGGCACCAGAAAACAGCATCGTCATCGGTATTTGATAAGAAGCGCACTTGATATCCAACGGTGACCCAAAACAGCAACATTTTTTAGTTTGACCTGACCTGGAAGGTCAATGACTGACCTGAGAAGGTAAAACTGGGTATCATTGGATTCGTCTCTTCCCAAAGAATCTTTGGTCTTTACTGCTAAGCTCTATCTCCAACAGGAACGAAATGGCGCGGGGGGTGGTGGCAACCACCCCCCCCCCCCCATGTGCGTTCTAGGATGGGAAAATGGCATGTGCGGGCGAGGGTTAATGTCAAGCAGTCCAATGATGACGTTTCGTGAAAAATCAATGCTTGTCCAGGTAAATATAGACAGACATAAACCATGATTAATTTTTGTAACCTCTTCAATGCGTTTTTAATTAACAATTAATCGTAATGGATGGCATTAACAGGCAAGGCCGAACTTAAGTTACTTAGTCTATGCTATAAAGCATTGATTGGATTAGCGTTGATCGTTGCGGCTGCAGTTAAGTGAGCACGTACCCGCATCTGCTGTGTCCCAGGCTTGCAGCCTATTTGTACTCGGCCCTGCACTGACCTATCCCCGTGGCTTTCCGTGACATATCCTGTGTACCATACGTCTCTGACCTGTCCCTGTGCCTCGCCCTGACGGTTCTGACCTCTGTGTCCAGCTTATGCATATTCCTGCGCCCCGCTTTACATCTCTCACCGGATCTCTCTTTGATCTATTCCGTGTCCCGTCCTGACCTATCCCCATACCCCACCCTGACCTGTCCTGATGCCCCAATCCCCATCCTAACTTATCCCTTGCTCTCACCTGACCCTTCGCCCAGGTGGTAATGGTAGCCGGTCCATCCAGCGGCTGAGAGGCATCAAACACCAGCAGGTAGACGCCTCTGTAGCCCAGCAGGGGGAGGAGCACGGCCTCGTACTCCGGGTCGCCGCTCCAGTCCCACACACTCACCGTCACCTGTTAAATGTAGGCATGTCGATGTCACCTGTCAGATACAGCGACTGGCACATTTCAGATACAATGGTTGCCAGTTGCCACCAATCTCACAATGACTGCTAGATAACGGTACAGGGCTGTCAGCTATCCCAATAAGGGCTGAATATGCTTAATTGGGGTGACTACTGCCTTATGCCATAGTGACCGCCAGCCCGCGCATTATAACTACATTAGTTGCAGGGAGCGCGTCCGTCCTTGGTCCGTCCCTTGACAAACGTCAGACACAGACACATCAACCCCTATGACACTCCAACGTTCTTAAGTGACTACTGCTCGTTCTCTATCGTCCCGTTCCGCCTCGTGTTGTCCCATCCCTTCCCTGTCCCGTCCCACCGACCTGCTGTTTCTGTCCCGGTTCGGGCGACTCGTTCCTCTCCTGGCTGTTGTCGGGAGATTCAGCCAGCATCTCCTCCACCAGCCTGACAATCTCCGGGGGCAGCTCCTTCAGTGCACCCTCGTCAGTTACCTGAACACATCAGAAAAAGTCACTTGACTCACTTCCGCTGCCTAGCTGCATCACTCGTTGCGGCCGAGAGTGTGGGCATACTGTACCGCAATACATGCATGTCATGCGGGACAGCCTACGAGTAGTTACAGACATAATGTCTCATGATATGCATTAGCTCCAATTTCGTATAGCCATTCTCGTCCAGTGACCAGACAGTCATTTCAGTATGAAATATTCAAATAGGTAATGAGCGTGCCGGAGTGACTGCTGCGTTATTTATGTGTCATTCTGAGTATCCGCGGGCGTGGCACCTTCTACCAAATCGATAACCTTGCATTAGACACCAGACAGTGACACTGACCTAAGGGACCACGCTAAGGGACATTCAATTAAAAACCAATCGAGCGATGTCCTTTGCTCAGCGGTCTAACTGACCTCGAAATCCTTCCTGGGCATGACCTTGTTGAGGCTGCTGCGGCTGAGGTTGACCCTGAACGTGCTGGAGAAGTGGCGCGACGATGAGCGGCTCTTCCGTTTGGCCATCTCCCGCGACTTTCGGTCCTTGAGCAGCTCTCTGACCACGTTCCGCGCGATGGCCGTCTGGTACTCTTCCTCAATTTCCTCCGGCTCTGAGAGAAGTGGAGGTAGAGACGTGATGTAAAGACGTGATGCGATAACGGGAAGAGGTGATACTAAAAAGTGAAAACGTGACGTTGAGAAATACGACGGTAACTGGCTTGCAACTGGCGACAGACAGTGTGACAGTGACTGACTGTACCTCATGGTCCAAGACAGCTAACCTCCAAGCTAAAGGCAGTGAATGGTCCTCTTCGTCAGATGTCAGCTAATTTCTCTGTGCGCGCGACCGGAAACCTTTCACTGGGATGACGGCGGCCCATGTGAAATTGATTTTGGCTGATGACATAAAAGTGACAGTAACCGATTCCAGACAGCCCCCTCTAACCTCTCTGGGCACTCGACCAGCGCCCGGTGCTGGGCCGGCGGCTGCCCACCGAGGCGCTGTCCGGTTGCCATGCCGACGGGTCGTCCACGGGAAATGTGAACAGATCCGAGCTGTCCAGACCGGCGGTCGGCGGTGGCTGGCTGACGGCAGAGCTGCCCAGCAGCAGGTGACGCAGCGTCGTCTTACCGGCCCTGGCGCAAGGAGGACAGTCGATCTGGGTCTTCATTCCACAGACAGAGTGAAATGAAGGCAGTCGATAGTGGTGCGACACAATAGTTGTACTAAAGACAAGGCTGTGCTGGCTACGATGTCATTGGGACGTTTTGTGGCTATCCAAGGTCGTAGTCGTCGGGTCATTACATTTAGATTACCTCGTTGCGCGGAATATTGCCTCGTTACACGGCATCATACCCATCGTTTGTCGTAAGAAGTGACCCCTTACCCGCAGTTCCCGATGATGAAGAGCCGACTACGGTACACCGGTACAGTGCCGGCCCTGCGCACCTGACGGTACAGGTCCCGCGCCGCCTGACCGCGGGCCAGAATCTCCAGAGGCGTCTCCTCTGGAACGGGTCGCAGGGCATAGGTCACGAACTGTTGGTGCTAGATCCTTGATAGCGCGACAAGATTTGCATCGGTGTGTCCCCTCTGGCAGATGTCACATATAACCTACACTGGCATAATAAACCTATATATCGTACTCCTCCACCAACACTGCTATCGACGTTTTGTTGGAGAGAGGTTACACGACGAATGCTATCCGTCACACGCCTTTGACTGGACCGACCGCACCGTGATCCCCAATGACCCACAATCCGATGGACAGACACGGAATGTTGTATTCCCGATAGGGGCAGACGCACGGTCAAGCGTCTACATTGGACGTTTCCGACCAGTTACCGCGCTGCGTCCCTGAAAACAGATATTGTTTGTGTCCCTGACAGACATGCAGCCTCCGGCAGGGATCCCCTGTCAAACGACCTTGACCGCGCTGTGCTCCTAACAGACAGACAGAAACGGGATGTTGTGCCCCGATCCCCACAGATAGACAGGGGCCAATATATCACACGCCTCTGACCACCGCACTGTGCCCCTGTCCCCTGACAATACAGACATGGCCGTGTCCCTGACAGACAGACCTGCCGTGCCGTGACCCCGACAGACAGACCCACCGTGGTGCCGTGTCAGCCGTAATCCCTCGGCACCACTCAAGGCCCGCGCCACACGTCACTCGACATATTCGCGTCACGCGTCACGCTGCGCGTCATTCGTGTAACCCCTGCTCAGGTTACACCGGCCGCGCCATGTTTTCACGTCACCGTGGTTTTCGCCATCGCATTCACTGAGTCGGACAGCCGACATGCATTACACCAGGTCTGTTCATACAGCCCTTCTTTCCTGAGGAAAGGTACACTCTCTAGTAAGATGGCTGTCAAACTATTCTCAATGCAACACAAATCCGTAGCGTTTTCATCAGTATATGTAATAACTACTACGCCGCACCCGATAACCCTTCCCCAGCATCTCATTATGCCTCCGATAACCTTATTTGGCCCCGGCATCTCACCATCTCCTGTGACCTGACTTGACCCATCATCTCACCATTTCTGGTGACCTGACCCCTGTCTCCATCTCACCACCCCCAGTGACCTGACCCTTGTCTCTCACCACCCCCCGTGACCTGCCCCCATCATCTCACCATCCCCGGTGACCTGGACCGACTGTGTGTTGCCATAGACGTCCACCAGGGCCCAGAGCGGCCTGTCCTCGCCGACGCCGGTGGCCAGCCGGGTGACCTGCTGGTGGTTGACCGAGACGTGTAGAACTCCGTCCAGTGTCAGCCAAAAGTGGATCCTGGGGATGCAGAAGGTGGATGGTGTTAGATGATTAGGGCAGGGGTGAGCGGAGCTGGTTAGACAGATTAGACCGGTAAATTTGCACACGTTACACACGTGAATGCACGTTTTGAACAGCTATTAGTGAGAATTCAGTGAACAGAGGTTCAGCAAATGTTGACTTCCCATACGCTATAAGTCAATTTCGCACTGAACGTTTATGTCTCGTTTATAGGTAATACGTTTCCTGAAAGCTTACGCGACCACTTCCGTTTGTGGCTCCGATAAACGGTGGTCCGATGTAGGACTGACCAAATCAATCAAACGAATCGAACGGCCCCACATTGATGGGATCTTCGATTGGCCAATTAAATCTTTTTACTGGGGACGAAGACAGCCTCCTTGGGGACAGCCGTTGGCACGCCATCAGCTCGCCCTAAGTGGACGCCCGACTCCGCGCGCGACAGGGCAGCTGCTCTGTCCCGTCGCCCGGCCACCAACGACCACACAGTGATCAGGCCACATCTTGTAACACCTCCTGTTTCGTCACTACCCCGTATAACACACCCCGCTTTGTCACCCGTTCCTTTATCTGTCCCGTCTCGCTGAATGAAGGAAATGAGTGAATTTAAGTTTAGGAATGAGTATAGACCTCTTCCTTCATTTTATTTCGTCCCGTTGCTGACCCCGTCCCGTCACCTAAGCCGTCTTCCGTCCCAACTCTATCCCGTCTTATTTCTGTCGAATCACTCGCCCTGTCCCTCCCTGTCTCCCCTCCCCCGCCCACTCACCTGGCGCCGTCACTGAGGTGCTGTTCGCGGATGGTGCGCACCCAGAACCCGGGCCGCCGGATTAAGTCGGGGAACGAGTAGCGCGGCAGGGAGGTCAGCGTGGCCGGGTCGTGCCAGGTGACCCCCAGTCGCAGCGCGCCGCTCCAGTCGGAGACCTGGCTCACTCTCAGGTGGTACTGCTCACCGCGTGCCATCGGAACCGAGCTGAGGGAGAATTCGGAGTCATCCAAACCAACCGACCGACACGTGCCAAAGGGAACTCATATTGATAGCGATAGGAATGATTGCCGAAAGTAACTAGAGACAAGATGCGTGATACCTTTATATTTATTTATTTATTTATTTATTTGACATCGTAGGCTCATTCCACAAAAATGGCTATTCCTGAACCAGGGTCGCAATATAAAATGATGGGTGTCGTGGGAAAAACATACGCACGCACGCACACAGACAGACATTCGTTCGCAGTCACTCTCTCACAAACGTGTCGTCATGAAGCATTGCTAACGGTCAGCCGCCTGTTGTCGCAACAAGTGCCGGCGCAACTCTGCCTTGAACGCGCGCAGGTTCAGGTCACACATCGCCGGTGGTAGGCTATTAAAAGCTATCACGGCGGTAAAGAGGAATCGTCTCCTCCCGGACTCCGATTTGATTCTTGGCACATGTAGCATATCTGTCTGTCTTGTGGCTCGCTGATGTACGTCACGTCTATGCACTATTCTACTCGCGATTGACTCGGGCTGCGCAGTGACCAGCATACGTTTCAATAGGGTCAGCACATGATATGAGTACATGTTACGCGCGGACAGCCATCCCAGGTCACGCAGGACGTCACTAACATGATCAAACTTCCGACGCCCCGATATCACACGGGCTGAGAAATTCAGCAGCTTTTGCAGACGTGCGAGCTGAGTGGTATTGCAGGAGCCGTACACACTGATACAATAGCGGATGAGCGAAATGACTAGACTTTGGACTAGGGTGGTGAGCGTCGAATGTGGTAAAATATGTCTAGAGTGACTCAATCCGATTAAAATACCTGTGCAGCGCCGGACGACATCATCGGTATGGGCGGCAAACGACATACATTGGTCAAATACGACACCCAGATTCCGCACCGCGGGAGAGCCGGGGACAATGGCGCCCATAAAGTTGATGCTGACTGTTGGAAGCTGCCGGAGATTTTGACGAGTGCCGAGAACAATGAGCTGAGTTTTCTGAGCGTTGATTTTCATACCATTTTTGCCAAACCAGTTCGAGAGCAGTGACAAATTTCGTTCCATGGATCCGATCAGGGCGCCAATGTCTCCGGGCCTCCCGCCCACGAGAACCTGAGTGTCGTCCGCGTACTGCACGATGCTCGCGTCATCAACGAATAGCGACATATCATTAGCATAGATGCTGTACAAGAGCGGTCCGAGCGATGTCCCCTGATAGGTGCCGATCGGGTTCGGCAGCGCCGCCGACAGAGTTCGAGAGCCAGAGTGGCTCTCAGCTACCACCTGCTGCTGGTGGTCGGCCAAATAACTCTCAAACCAGCGCGTGTCGACATTGTACAGTTCGAGTTTACGTAAAAGTCCGGCGTGCGGTACGACGTCAAAGCATTTGGACAGATCTAAAAGACACAAAAGTGTGATTTCCTTACGGTCCATAGCCTCAAACACTCGGTCTGTAACATCTAAAAGTGCGGTGTCGGTAGAATGGTTCGTCCTAAAACCGTGCTGACTAGACGAGAATAAATGATGACAGGTGAAATAGGTAAAAAGCTGCTCGTAAACGACGCGTTCAGTGATTTTGGCGATGGTGGGAAGGATTGATATGGGGCGGAAGTTGGTTACGTCTGTGGATTTGGGTGATTTCTGGATGGGATGGATCAAGGCTAATTTCCATGAGCTAGGGACGCTGTGACTGGTGATGCTGGAATTGACGATGTGGGTGATGACGGGATAGATGGAGCCAAAACACTGTTTGATAAAACGCATACATAGTCCGTCAGCGCCACACGATGTACTGCTGGCCATCCTACCAACGATACACGACAGTTGTTCCGGTGTAACGGGTGCCACCTGGAAACGGCCGGTGGAAACGCGCGGCAGCCGCACCGCCAGCTCGGGCCCCGCGGAGTCCACCTGTCGGGCCGTGGCGGTCCCAATACTGGCGAAGTACTGGTTAACTGCGTCCGTGTCAGCGTCCGGTGAAGGTTTGGTCGTCCGCTTCCCCGCGATGACCGGCCGGACACTGCGCCACAAGGAGCTCGGCCCGCTCTCCCGCACGCGCCGGTCGATCTCCTCTCGCGTGTCACGGCGGACGGCCGACCTAACCTGCCGGTTCAGTTCCTTATACAAGGCACGATCTGAGGCACGTAGCGCCGCCCGCCGCCGGGCCATTAGGTCCTTTGTGGCTTCCGTCACTGGGGGCGCCGTCGGGTTACGCACTCGGAACCGTCTGGCCGGGGCCAGACTGTCAATAATGGGCATAGTCACCGCGATAAAATAGTCCCACTGCTCGCCCGGGTCAGCACTGCGGTACACAGGGCTCCAGTCCACGGCCCACAGGCGGCGGCACGCCTCGGCGGTGTCCAGTTTGCGCCAGCTCCGTCCTGTCAGAGTGCACCGCTCCGGTCGGCGGCCCGGGGTCGGCACCACCGCACGGCACCAGTTGTGAGGACTGTAGTGACAGTGCAGCGTCCCGGCCCGCTCAACACCACGATTCGTTGCGATCACATCGATGGTGGAGCCTGATGACCGGAACGTAGCACCGTCGATATGCTGGTGCACTGCGTAGGCGGTAAACAGCTCTCGGAGTCTGGTAGCCGTAGCGCTGCCGCCGTCCGCGGTGTTGATATTAATATCGCCGGCTATGACGATCGGTCCGCTGTGGCGAGTGATGTGGTGCTGCAGCTGCTGCTCCAGTATGTCGAGGTCCGCGGTGACACGGACCTGTGTCTGCACCGGCGGCCGGTAGAGGGAGCAGATTACTACCTTCTGCGGGCCCGTGCCGATCTGGACCCACAGCGACTCTAGCCTGGAGTCCGCTGTGACTCGGTCAGGTCCGTCCAGCACGGTGGCCACCATCCCCTCCCTCACCAGAACGGCGACACCGCCGTAGCCCCTGCCGTCAGCTCGGTCTCTCCGCAGCAGCTGGTAGCCGGGAACCGGTAAAAGTCGATCGGGTGTGGCCGGCTTAAGCCACGTCTCACATAATACAATGAGGTCAAAATTGTGCTGCGCGATGTCGTCACGCAGTTCGAGCAGTTTTGGTTTCACCGACTGCACGTTAAGCTGGGCGATGTACAGCTGATCTGGCCGCTCTCCAGCTCTCCAGATCCGCCCGCCCCTGGAGCCGCGCCGCCGGCTGCGCACCCCTCGCCGGGTAGGCCTGGACGGGCCCCTGTCGGCGGCCGGCGGCCTGTCAGGGTCGGCGGCGGTCCCGCGCGGTAACGCCGGTCGCGGGGGAGCAGGGAGAGCCGCTGCCACAGGGCGAGGTCGTTATAGTTAGCACCTACTTGAAAATGTTAGTGGTAAGCTCATGGGGATCAATTGGACCATGGACCTCTGTATACCGGGTATACAGATGTCTATGATTGGGATTGGACGTTGATTAACCCTCGCCCGTAAACGGTGTTTTGCCACCTTCGCCCATGCAGGGCGTTGGTGCGACCCCCCTCCCCCTGGCGTTTGAAAACGGAGCGTTGTAGAGCTTAGCGGAACAGACCAACGGATTGCTCTCAACGAGATCTCGCGATTGGTGGTATATTTTTTGGTCCTAGGTAAACATTTGACCTACTTATGACCGGTCAAAGGTCAAATTTTCGGAAAAATCTAACTTTTTTCAGATTTCCGCGCCGATTGCGGCAAAACATTAAGAGATATCGACTTGAAACCTTCACTATCGTGATCCTTGATCAATTCTCTATCGTTTGGTGTGTATTTCGATGTCATACCTCTAAAAATGATGCGTTGGGAGCATCGGAAGTCTGCAAGGTCATTTGTGCATTGGGTCACGTCAGGCGTGTGACGTCACTGACCTGACCCTGACCCAAAATGAACTACAAGAAACAACCGGCGATGCCTGAAATGGATAGCAAATTCGAATTCAGGGCATCAAAATACCCCGAAAAGGCATACAAGTGCAAGAAGTCATTACAGGTCAACCGAGGTCACTGACCTTACCTTGACCTTAGTAACCTTCAAAATGTCAACGGACATTGTACCAATGTCAAATCAGCCAGTTGTGATTCTAAAACAATCCATCAGTGTGTCAGGTCAGTCGGCATTTATACCAATGTGGAGCAATCTCCAATTTAGCGTAAATCTGGCCGGAGGTTGTTCCCTTTATGACGTCATAACTCCGTGACCTGACATGACCTTGACAAAAATAAAATACCAAAAGTTGCGCAAAGGATGCCCCAAAGGGTAATGAAAATTTGAGCAGGCTATCTGAAACGGTTCGGCGTGTAGCTAAGAAAAACCTCAGGGGGGGTTGCACCAACCCCCCCCCCCCCTACATGGGCGAGGGTTAATCGTCCCACAGAACAGCGAACTTACGGAGAGGAGTTCTCTGGCAGGAAATCCCTCCGATTTCTCTCTAAGGGAACATTTTCCTCGCCATCCACTGACCTGAACGTGATTCCATTGCAGAAGCCCTCGCGGCGTGTGGCGCACGTGTCATCGTTTTCGAGCGCCACGTGCGAGCCGTGCACCGCGTGAAACTTGAACATGGCGCGGCGCCACCGGGGGCTCGCGCGGCGGCTCCTGTAAAAATGATATCGTTTGCCACTTTTTTACGACACACCATTGTCCACATGTTAGCCGTTTCTGATCAATAATTACCATGCTTGAACATAGACTGTGCTTTGCGGCACACTATACCTTCAGGCGCCTACAGGCATCGCCATCTATTGAGTGAATCTGCAACGTCTGTGGTGCTACGCGGCACAGTATTTCTTCAGGCGCTTACAACTAGCGTCATCTATGGAGAAAGTCTGGAACGTCTGCTGTGCTTACGGCACAGTATCTCTTCAGGCGCTCACAACTAGCGTCATCTATGGAGTGAATCTGGAACGGCTGCGATGCTTTGCGGCACAGTATCTCTTCAGGCGCTTACAACTAGCGTCATCTATGGAGTGAGTCTGGAACGGCTGCTATGCTTTGCGGCACAGTATCTCTTCAGGCGCTTACAACTAGCGTCATCTATGGAGTGAGTCTGGAACAGCTGCTATGCTTTGCGGCACAGTATCTCTTCAGGCGCTTACAACTAACGTCATCTAGGGAGGTGATCGGAAACGTCAATCGTGCTCTGCGGCACAGCATAGTAGTCCAGGCGTTTGGCACTAGTACCATCTAGTGAGAATGGATTAAAGCATCCTGCAGGTGCAGATCGTTTGACGATTTGTGCTGCTGCCTGCTGGATACGGGGAACCGGAAACGCAATGAGTCTCTTGCTTTGAGCACCATCTTAGGACAACAAAAAACAGGACAACAAAAAACTGTGACTCATTTCGAGAAAAGGACTTTCTTTATCAGTGCAGTGAGCAGTGAAAGTAACTCAGTGTCCGTAGGTGAGTCCGTAAAAGTCCGTAGGTGAATTGAATGAGTAGGCTGCTGCACTTGGTTTTTATCGTCATACTCCCCTCAATAACATTCGAGCTGTGCACCGCTTCTGAGACTACACCCTGTTCCCAGTGCACACATACCCCCCCCCCCCCCACACACACACACACGGTCAAGCATCGATCACCAGAGGCGTCACTACAGACGCCCGGGGTAGGTAGGCACTGAGTGCACACGACCTGGGCGGGAAGGCTGGCTGCCGGTTTTGTTTATTAATTTTTTTTTGCGCAACAGCTCAATATTCACTTGTGCGGAGGGCCGCTGTTCACCCGCGTCGCGGCTCACAGCGACGGTCCGTTCGCCATTCACCGTGCTGCGGCACGCTGTCCTCCGTGTTTATACGGTTCGCTGTTTCCCGTTAGATGGCTCGATGTTTCCGTGTTTAACGGTCCACTATTCCCAAGTGTTATGAAGGT